GAATTTTTACACTAAGATATATTATTGTTTTACTTGCCAATTTTTGTTTTTTTTCTTAAATATATTACAAATTTATTTAAAAAATTTATTTTATATTAATAAAGAGTGAATATTTTGTACGTTTATCAATTTCTTAATTTTAATTTAAAAAATAAAATAAATATTGAAAAAAATTTTTTTTAATAATTTTTTAATTATAATTTTTTATAATTATAAAATATTAAAGATATTGATTATATTCCAATATTGGAGTCTTTTTTAACTTATATTTAACTTATTTAGAAGAATATAAAGAGACATGTTATTCAATAATTTCGTATAATTAGTCTAATTAATTCTCTTAATTAATGTTAATTGTCATAGCAATATTTATGTGCTCATTTTATTCTATTATACGTCGCGTTTATAAATAAGCTATATAATTTCACTATGATTGCACATATATGTTTTTCCTTCACTTTATTAAAGTACCTTTGCAGCTTTTAAGTTTTTTATGTAAACTAGCCCATTTCCCACAATTCGACGTAATTGAGCCGCTAATCTTTGATAGCGTGCGGAAAACGTCACGGTATACGCCGTACAACGCGAAAATATTAAACGCAAAAGTACGTTATTAAAGATCGAGCGAAACGAATTTTAATGTAATTTGCATAGCGTTATACACTTGCCTTCTTTGAATCCAATTCTTTCGTTCTTTTTCCTCTAACCATTCCTTTATAATTAATAACCTTCCAGATTAAGCTAATTGCATTCTATATATCCTGTAACAACAGACCATAAATAATATATCAAATAGGTCGATTAATTTGCAATGTTAATAAAATAGGAGAATAATTTCTAATTTCTGTATAATAGAAGGAAAATTGTAAGAAAATTTCTATACAATAGGAGGAAAATTGCAGGGAAATTTAACGTGTGTCTATATATATCTATACATCGAGTGGTTTTATTTGCATTTAAAATTTGATAATCGATATAAAACGGTTAATATACATGTCATAAAATAAATCTTTGCGCTTTGTGACAGAAATATAATGTATATCTTAATTTCGATTTGTTTTATATTTCTTTCTGATGTGTTATATTTTTTTAAAATATTGATACGTTGATTTATTCATCAATTTGATTAGAAAAACTATTTTTAATTCGTAGATAGCATCATGCAGGTTATAAATAAACGATGTTTGCATGTATTTATTTGCATGCTGTAGCAATTAGTACAAAATTGCAAGAGGTTTGCATTAAAGAATCACACTCAAGTATTTAATCGTCAAGAAAATAAACAGATAAATATGTTTTTACATGTTATAAAATTTGGCATATTAATTACATTATTCTTTTTTTATACTGTTCTTAAATTGAGAAGTTTATATTTTCTGATACAATTATTAAATAAAAGCGTTGGAGTAATAACGTCCTAAGTAAAAAATCAATTTTTATGACGAAATAAAAAATATCTCTCAAACTTACAGAATGTATCCATAAGATAGAATCTTCAAATATTAATTGTAAAAAATTCTATGATGAAATAGGCGTACTCTAAAATCATTATCGAACATTAACATTAGATTGTACTATACTTGCAAATAATTCACTCGCCTTTTGTACTTTTTGTGAATTTTTATATGCGTATGTAGAAAGATTTCAAGAAAATTGTTCTCGTTATATTTTTATACGGCACCATACAAGTGGAATTTTACAAGGAAACGCGACGAGCTATAATTTTATCATTACGATAGTTATTAAAATTTGTGCGAATGATAATACCCCTCGCGCGACACGAAATAATTCCTGTCGTAAATTTTAAGTATGGCATGCATTCATTGCGTCCGAGTTTACCTTTCGGAAAGAGCTGTTTTACACGCAACTTGGCTGCAATCACACTATTAAACCACTTTCGTAATATTCTTCATATTTTATCGATTTCTAGATATTTTGCATTTTGTTGATATTTTATTAATACTTTGAAAATTTAATTTGTATTTGATCTAATATTTAATTCTTACTAATTACAGCTAAAAACTGTATATATTCTTTTCTCATCTAAATATATATAAAAAAACACGTTAAGTTTAAATTTAAAGTTAAACGATCTTAAATTTAGCAATAAAGAAAAATAAGAAGACAGTAGCGGAAATTATCACGCGTTATTTTTCGACATAACATATACGCATTGTTACGGTAATGCGCGCAAGATTGTGCGATCTGAGAAAATAATTAAATTAATTACGCTTGTTGTGGGCAATGTGAATTACATCGTATAACGCACATGCAGAAATTAACCGGAAGTTGTTTTAATTCCCAGGACAATCTGTGCGCGAACTTTCTCTGCTCTCATTAACGGCGCGATTATGGGGAAAGTGTTCGGTAAAATTATCTAATTGTAAGTCGAAGTAGACCGTGGTATTTGTGCTTTAATGACGCCACATTTTGCGCGAAATATCAGGCGCGTGCTTTTGCTGCTTTTCCTCTCTCCCTTTAATCAACCGTGCAAATTGTTAGATACGAACTTTTAGACAAGTATAACTTTTAATAGTTTTGTCTAGCGTGTCGTGAATCGTAATGCAGCCGGTGTAATCGTCCGTATCTTTAGTATGCCACTAGGGTTAATCCTTCTCAAATTGATTTTAGCATGTCAAGAGACATTTTCTGTTTAGAGAAATACATTTATTTTGGAGTAATTTTTTGATAAACAAAAATAATATAAAAACGCCACTTTTCAGATTTGATTCTTTACTGAGGAATGTAAAATAAAAGTTTAGGTTAATGAAACTAAATAATTTCTTTTATATGTGAACAACATTTCGTATAATATATGTTGATATAAAAAACTTTTTTCACGCAGTAAAAATTTTTCGCATGAAAATGCGTAACAAATGCATCAGTATGCATGTTGAGCGTGTTGAATGTTGAATAACGTAATTTATTAGCGTACGCAGAACGCTGTTGTCGCGCATAATTTTTTTCACTGCATAATAATATCGCGAGTTGACGATAGAATTGGTTGTTGCCGTTTTAATGTTTGCCAGTTTAGTTTAGTTGTGATTTATAAAATTAACAATGAATAGTTACAAGGAATCATATGTTTCTCACGAAATAATTAACTTTTAATTCTTCCAGATTTATTAAAAATTATATTGAGCATTTTATTATACATTCAATGTACAATAAACATTATAACATTATACACATTTAACCAAATCTTACGATAGGATAAAATAAAATCTAGGATTAAAAAATAAAATGATGATAAAAATTAATTATTACATGTATACATGTATTTGTAAACGATATACATCAAATTAAAAAAAACGTCTTATATTACAATGTATCAAAAATAATCGCGAAGCTTTCGTCGAATGTGCATTTTCCTCTTTACATATTCAAGGTCAGTTTTTGTTACAGTGGTATACATGTATTTAGAACATTTCTCACATATTCCTCATCATGTAATTAAAACATAAATATCATTATTATTTCCGAGAGAAAACTCTCGGAATAATTTAAATCTGAAAAAAAAAATTCGATAACGATCGGCCTTCTTTCAATGAGCGAAAGTGCTCGCTCTCGCTTAAGGGTTAAGGTGACGACGAATTACAAGCGCAACTTTAAAGCCCTTATAATCGCGACACGCGCGTCGCGACACACGCGTCGCGTCGGGAGGAAAATCGGCCGCGGCCGGGACCGCCTTGAAAACCGGCCGGTTAAGGTAAAGAACTTCGTGTCGCGCGTATCGATTTCGTGGTCAGCCAGCCAACTGGCTTCGAGGGGCCGCAGGGGTTGAAAATCTTCGCGTGACCGATCGTGCGGGACCAGCCGACTTCGTCTCTCTCACCCTCGCCTAGCCGCCCTTCGCGGCCACGTTCTGCCGCGACTGCGGCAACCGCAATCACTGACCGAAGTCACCTGAGGCCAGCCGCTAGTGATGGCCACTCGTTGATTTACGAAACGTCGCGCGATCCTCGTTATAGTTCGCTCGCGAGTTGCTGCGATCCCTCTGATCATCAATTCGTCGCTATATTCCGTCGCCAATGTTCTTTTTGCTTCTCTCAAAAATTAATCGGACGCGTGCCTATCGCAATTTCGAGCTTCGCGATCGTGCCGTCGACGTCTACCGATTATCTCCTGAGCTTCTGGAAATTGGTTCTCTACCCTGCGAAGGAGTTGTGTTTAGGTAAGGGGTTTTTCAGACTGCGATTGCATGCGCGGACAGAGGGATGAGACCTGCGCGGCTCTAGGGATGCGGTTTTTGTGATGTGATTAAGTTTACTATATGTGGGGATCTTGCGTTTTTCATCGGAGCTTGATCCGTGGATGGTTGAGTTAGAAAATATATATCTTACATCATAAAATATGTTTGCGTTTTACCGCGCATTTAGTGGTTTGCAGTTATTTCGTTTTATCCATTTAACTTTGAAAATTATTTGAAAATAAATGTAAACTATACCAAACTCATTATTGTCGTAACATAAAATGCGATTTAATACTTTGATAAAATTTACATTATTCTTTTTCAGTGTACGTTTTTAATTCAATTCAAATATTATGCCCCATGAATAATCTAGACCTTTTTCATCTACAGCTAAATGTAATCAATACTTTCTGATATTATATATATAGAATGTACATTTTACACATGACTCATACGTGTATACAGACGTATATAAGTGTTAATAGCTATGCAGCTAATGCAAAATCGATAATAATCTTCCGGGATTAAAAAGTTGAACATTTATGCTGCATAAAATAAATTAAATAATATATATATGAATGATTCCTTATTTTGATCTCTCTTATTTTCAATACATTTTTAAGCAATATATATATTCCTATAATTTGACATATATTGATATATAATAATATCAACAATTATTATTTATTGGATACAGAAAAAAGTAAGAACCAAGTTATTTAAAATTTTAAATGTATGTATTTTTCATAGCTTTTTCCGCAAATATGGTAACATTTAGTACTGGTATGTCTCAATATTTTTATTGTAGTGTCCTGGCTTCCGGTAACGAAAAGGAACAAGGTAGCGAAAAGCTATTGGCGCGTTGGAAGAGGTCTTTGAGTCGGTACTCCAAGTGCTGCTCCGGCATGAGGTGTCTGGCCTGTCGTAGAGACCCCAAGGGTCTATGGACCAGGAATCAAAAGCGAATAATGGTGATTAACGACACTCCATCGCCACTTCCAACACCGCCTGAAACGAACGCGTTGTCTTGCTGGTCGAAATTAAAGTCGCGATGCAGGTGAAAAACCATCGTTTAACTATTAGAATTTCATGATCAAGTCGCATGCGCTTATTTTATCAGATTATTATATATGTATATAATATATATATATATATATATATAAATGTTATATTAATAGTATGGAACAATTTTTGAAGGCATAAAATGACGTATATAGGATAACTAATGAAAAAAATATCCATTGCAAAAATATGAGTAGAAATATTTTTCGATCATTCTGTAATTTATTATTATTTGCTTAACCATGAGCTTATTTCTAGAATGTTTCAGGCTCGATTTCTTGTAATCTTGCCTTATTATCTATGCCGCTCTACTTCGCTATTCTATCGATTTTAAGTTTCCAGCCTCGCGATTTATCCTTCGACAGTTGGATTTTAATTACAAATTCTCTATCGCATTTTTGTTGAATATTGTTAATTTAATTAATAATTATCAAAAGTTATCTTATAATCTTTTAGAAACTTTACAATGACTTTTGAGCTTGCGTGCGCTTGAGTTATTAAGAATTTTTGACTAACAGATCTTAGGATGAAAATGAAAATTGCATCGCGCGATATACTTTTCTCTATAACAGATGCACTGGATTCCGAGATATCAAGTGTTGTTCAAGAAAATCCAGAGTCGCTCCTGCCGAGCCTATTGTTTGCTGCCCGCCGGAGAGAAGATGCGGTGCAATTTGCCGTCGCGTGTTCGGCTGTTGCAGTTGCAAGCGCGCAGACACGCAACAACGCACAAAAATACACGTGCCAAGCACAGTCTTACGAGTGTAGCGCCGCCACCCTTGTCGGAGGTACGTAAGTGTTGAAAAATCAAAACAACTATATCCTGTCGAATAAAATAAAATCAGCACTTTGCTTTATTTGCACGTAAAAAATTGCAATTGTTCCTTCTTATTAATTCTAATATTTCTAAAAATTGCATACTAAATCTAAATAAAAGAAATAAATATGTATGTAACTTTAACTGGAGGAATAAGGGATGAACTGTTATTCTCTCGAATAACTACCTTGAATATGAAATACAACGAAGATTGATCAACGTAGATATGTAATATCCTAGAAACGCATTATCCAAAGTCGCGTTATCTTATTTACGAGAATTTGATGCAATGTCGCAGGAGCCGAAGTCCAAGTTACCAGATGTTCTAGTGGAACATAATTCTGTTATGCGTGGCGCCATTCCTTGCCTTCCGGTTCCTCTCGCCTGGTTTTGCTTAATGTGGAATGTTTTATTACCAGGCACAGGTACGATTTTAACAATTAATACTATTTTCTTATATTTAGAAATGATGTATTTTTTATAAAATTAATTTTTAGTTTTGAAAAAATGTTTAAGTATTTTTTCGTTCAATATTAAATTACTATTTTTTTTATACAATCGATTATTTTTTTCGTTTAGGAACTATTTGGAGCGGCCTGTTCAATTTGTGTACCGGACAACCGCGATTCTCTCCCGTTGCCGGACCAAAGTCACGACTGGGTTCACTTATTGTCAATCTTGTCGTGGGTGTTGGTCAATTGTTTACCGTCTTGTTCTGTCTTGTTGGATGGGGCTGGAGCATTTGGTGGGGTGTCACCATGATTCGCTTAGCTAGTAAGCATCTTCTGATTATTTATTCAAATAAAATTATCGTCTAATTGTCAGATTATATACAAAAAATATTTAACATTAGTTACAAATTGTTCCAAGTTTGATTATACATAATAATAATCTTTAAAAAAAATTTTTTTAAAACTACTTTTTGATGTAAAAAATTAATGATTAATTATTATAAAATAATTTGAAATTGATTTATAAATTATTTCAGAAAGAAATTATTGTTTGATATTTGTGCTTTTTATAATTCTAGTAAAAATCAAAGTCTCAAATTTTCTGGATTAATATATTGTATATGACATTATACATAAAAAATGCCACGTTGTAGGGAAATACAAACGATTCAAGGCTTCGGAAGCTGCCAGCAATGATCCTGAAGCCAGAGGAGGCGAATCGGGTCCACTGCCTCCTGGTGTGCCGAGTCAAGCTTTACGAGAGATGGAAAGAGCACGATAATGCATTATAGAGAGGAGACCATGATCATTTTCCAATTGTCTAAAGACATTTTATATCTTGTTCGACAAGTTTTCGTGCCTCGTTTGATACAAATCATTCTGAATTGAAAAATATCGTCCGTCTGAATAAAATAATATTGCTGGTGCAGCTTATAATAATGATTATATATTTATAAGACGATATTAAGAGAGATATTTCAATCGATGAAGATTTTTCTCTGCAATTAAGTCACGACGAAAGGTGAAAATTAAATAAAAAACTTAACCCACTTTATATTAAACCATACAAAATAAGTTTGGCAAATAGGCAATGGAAAAAGGCCATAAATTATTGAAATAATTGGAAATTTTTTACCTTTTTCCTTGCATTATTCATTCCTCGCTATCTTTCATAAGAACTAAGACTTTTTTAAATTAAAATTATTTTTATGAAATACAAGCTATAAATATAAGAATCTCGCATAAATATGAATCTCGTATAAAAATTTTTTCTTTCGTATAGTTTATTTTGTTTTAATGCAATATCAAAATTCTAAATTCAGAAAAATTTTTCGAAAGAAAACTTCACCGAGATTCTTGTGCAAGATATTTATAAAAAGTTTCCTTTTATTGAAGTCAGAATTATTATACTGTAATAATTTTTTTTTAATTGTCGGCATCTTCCATTTTATAAAAAAATAAATTTCTTGACTTCGATAAATAATTGAAATAAATAATCGACTATTTTTTATGATATTATTAATTTCGGTAAATATTTTTTAGGAATTTTAAAGAAAGAAGATTACTCTTTTACCAAGTTAATAGAGAATTTAAAACTCTCGACCTTCATTAAGAATTTCATCGCAGATGCCGTTTTCAATAATCCTATTTGGAATCTCCTTGTAAAATTAAAAAAAATTAAAATTAAGATATCTATATAATATAAACAGAGACTTTGCAAACACTCTGTATTTTTCTACACAATGGAAACTTTCATCCTTGTCGATGAAAAGTTCAATTTTTGTAAAGACAGCGCTTGTGCGTGAGAAGCTCGTGGCCTATTAAAAAATCCGAAGACGTCCTTGAAGATTAATCGCTTTCAGTGAAAGCATCTTAAACATTTTTTTCAAAATGTACTCGTTGCATCAATGAGAATGATTTACGAAAAGCAGATCATTAGCGATGATGGTAACGATATTGGAGTTTTTTTCGGTGAGTAGACATTAGATTTATATACATTGATTAAAATCGATCTTCGGAGATAGATTACCACAATTTTCGAAGAAGTGGCCTTAAAACGATATCGATGGGATAATTAATAAAGTTTTGAAAAACGCGCTTTATATTTTTACAAGCGCATTATATACACAAATTACTCAACTACTCGATTATACTTACATATACGATTGTTGTAAATATGAAAATATATTACTTACGTCAATTTTTAATGTGATATCTGGTTTTAAAAATTTTTGTATTTTCCCTTCTTTTTCCCATCCATAATCGCAACTGCTTTACACACACACACACACACACGCACACGCATATATATACATATATATTTTTAATTAATTAAAAAATTCTTTTTATTAAATTAATATATCTAATACATTTTATATTTAAATTATAGAAATCTTAATCAATAATTGTGATAATTTTGTATATGTTTGTTTTAATAAGTAATGTATATTTTATTTAAATTATTTTTATATTATAAGAAAGAGGTAGATATTCATATTTTAAAATAATAAAACAAACTATCACATGCAATAAAACCTTTCAGCTTTTTCCGTGTATAAAACAATTATAATAAAAGAAAATATTATTGTATGTCGTGATAAGGTAAAGGACAGTAAATAAAAAACTGAATTTCCATTGTTCTTGTTTCCATTTTGTTTATATTATGATAAAAACTAACAATTATTTCTTTTCGTACCTTTCAGAAATTCTGACATGGATTGGACCCATTATATGCAGAAATACAAATATCTTATAGTCTTACCGTGCCACTTTTCAAACCTAGAAAACAAACATTCAGAGATCTTGAAGTTATAGGATGTTCTTTAGACTCTCCTGGATCTTCTATTGTTCGAGGTAAATTTTTTTGATTATTTTAAAGTCAATAATTTTTAAAAATAAAAAATATATTTAAAACAAAATAAATATGAGGATAAGACACGTAATGCAATCATGACAGAATAGCATTACATAACATATTAAAGTAATTAAAAAATCCAATAAATCCGAGACAATTTATGAAAAAAATTGTCTGCGCGGAAAAATGTATTTGAATTAAAAAGCATCGTTATTTTCACTTTAACTGCCTTTTAATATATCACGACGGGATATTATTGTACATAAACATCTTAGACTTTAAGATTCTAAGATGTTCAAATTGAGAAACGTGCGCATGCTAGTGAAATATAAAGAATCTAGCAAAACTACTACCCTTAAGCATGCAAATCGATCGCATGCCTAAGCAGCTCTATTTCAAGCGGTAATTATCAAGATCTTGTTATTTTTTGCTTTTGTCGAAGACCTTAAGTTAGAGGTGTTCAGAGCTCGCGCGTTTGATTATGCGTATGTAAAGTTGTTATCCATGTGGTTCCGTGTGATGTGTGGTCAATTAAATTTGTCTTGACCAATCTGCAAGTATAAGTATGTTGATTTATCTCCGGTGTGCTAACTCTGAATTTCTTTTATCGGATATTTTAACAGTTTCATTAAGGTTCTTCTTAATTCAGAATTGATTCTCTCCCACACTGAGGAAAAAATTAATAATTAATTAAATCTTTCAACTAATTACTATTTTGTTAATTAAACATATAGAAGTTTAAATTAAATACAACATATTAAATTTAAGCTAACGTGTTTTGACTTAAATACTTTATGTTCAATTAACAAAGTAGTAAATAGTCGAACGATTTAGTCAAGTTAACAATTTTTTTTCTTAGTGCAATAAACTGGTGATATTTGTATCATAATATATATACAAAAAAAATATTTTTCGCAAGTGTAATCTTACAAGAGACAAAGCAAAAGTTTAAAAAGAAAGAAACCAAAAAAGAAAAAATGTTAAAGTGAAAAACGAAAGCTAGATTATATTACATTAAATCACGTTATTTTATGTCGGTTGCTCTTTTGCATAAGTATTATTTTTAGAGAGATTATATAAAAAAAAACTATTTTTTAATACAATATTCTACCATATTTTTCTGATATTTTATACGCAGTGATCAGTGTTCAGCCTGACAAAAAAGCGCTCCATTTGTTTTACATCCTTCGTCCCTAGATGGTCGATCATTCAATAATTTTTTTTTAAACGACGCGGACGTATAATTTTTGTTATTATCAACGATGTTCAATACTTTTCAGGATAATGCTCGAAACTCGTGTCAAGCGCGATATTTCGATGCGTCAATCTATAATCCGCGTACACATGCAATTGTGTAGGATGTAGAAGTGCATCCTACACAATATGTGCATGAATTTATAACAACTATGTTGGTGGTCGGTCGTTTGTTTGTCCTGTGAAAATTGCAGAGGCGAGTGCGTGTTTGTTCGAAATATGCGACGTGCAGTGATATACGCGCGTTCTTATCGATCGCAATTTATCGCACCTACGTTGCATAAACTTTCACGCTCGTTTTATGCATTCTTGCGAAGAAGCGCGAAGGTATCGAGGGTAAGCTTTCCCGGATTTTAATCGCGCAAGCTCCTCTATTATTTCGTCGCGAAATAAAAATATAACCGCGATTTTTCCGGCCGATTTAATCCGCCACGGTCTGTACGACTAAAAAAAGGCTCGTCACTTCGAGCAGATATGTGACGCAGAAATGTGTATCTCAATTGCATCGCAAAAGAATGTATATACGCGCGTTGGTTTTATATAAATATTCATGAAATACACTATGGAACAATTTTTCATACAACATAATTTTATGCAATATTTCACAAACAAAAAATAAAATATATTCTCTGGAAAATAATTATTGGAAAAGACAATTTTTACGCGCGTATCAGATATTATATATATATAACAGAAAGATATAACTCTTCTTATAAAGAAAAATTTTCGTAAAAAATTTGATTGCATAAAACAGAAAATATATGCATATAGGATTTAATTAAGATTACATTTTATTTTATTTGAATTGTGCTATATGTGGAATTGCAAAAATACGAAAGTCTCGTATGATAGTGTTAAATGATATATAAAAGAAAAAATATAGCACATCTGCTTTCTTTAAATTCGATAGGATCTCACTAGAACATAAAAGAACATTTAATTACCCCAATAAGATATAGTGTATATATAAAATCTTGTATATTATCCTCCCTTGTAGATTGCCCTTGTTAAGGTTTTTTAGGAATAGGTAATTGTTATTTCTAGCAACGAACACAATTGTATAACCGTTGCAAAATGTATCTCTGAGTAGTTAGGTATATAGTATAATTGGCATGGGTAAATAGGATTGAAGGATGAAACAAATTAAAATTTAAAAAAAAATCGCATTTCGAAAATATATACAAATTAGATACTTGTAAAAATCGCTTGGCAGCAAAGTTAATGAAGTAAATCGAAATATATTGAAGTAATCGATAATGCGATTTTTTTCAAATTTTAATGAGATTCGCCCACCAAAAACCTATTCACCTATTCTATTGATATCTCGGAATTAGTGCGATCATCATTAACTTTATTCCACGCTAATTTTAAGCAGAATTTGCAAAAATTTATTTTAGAGTTTAAAGATATTAAAGATATTCAATGTTAAATATAAAAAGTTATGCAAAAATTTTTAATTGTACATAAAATAGAAAAAAATATTTCATTTTGAATACTAAAAGATTATATAAATAAAAAAAAATTTAATAAAAATTTTTAAGCTAATTTTAAATTGATTATTTTATATGAAAAGAAGTGTCATTTCTCCTTAGACATCCTATATAACAATATATAAAATAATAACATTTACATATATATATTTACTTAAAAAAAAACTTGTCTACATATTTATCCATAATATAATATGCATATTTTCTTTTATTTAACATTAAAATCTAATTCTATCATATATAAAAATTTTTTTCCTAATTATTTCTATTGTATAATTACAATATAGAAACGAAAAAAGCAAATTTATTAGACAGAATTTTGAGATTGATCGTTCCACTTCCGAGTTATCGATATTATGCATGGTTTATGGTGTGGGTGTTAATGAATCGAGTCGTTGACGCTGGATATATTGAGTAGTATATGTTTTAATGATGTGATTCCATAATATGTCAATATGCACAGGTAAATATTCTTGTCATTATAATCGACGTGTTACAGTGTGTAATGTGATACGATAGTAATCGGTCTATAAGTATAACCACTTCTTTTTTTTCGTATATAATTAAGAACTTTAAAATAACTCTAAAGGATAAACTACATCACTATCGGCTAGAGCAACTATTTAGCGATAATAATAGCCTACCATGTCTTTTACTAACGGCGCTCGATGAATATGTATATATCGTTTTTATATTTTCCTCCCTCTTATTCCGTATTTTCTTTCCCTAACTGTGTCCTCCTGCAAATCTGTCGCGCTTATTAATCCTAGAAATACCAAATTCGTAAGAATTGCAAAAAAAATAAAGTTTTATCGAGATATTGTTTGACTCTT